ACCTGCTGCCTATTAATTTCATTTGGTGACCCCTAGTTCTTTTGTTATGAGAAGAAGTAAATAACCCTTATTTACTATCTCCATACCAGTCATGGTTTTTTAGATCTCAATCATATCCCCCCTTAGTCGTCTCTTTTCCAAGCTGAAAAGTCCCAGTCTTAGGCCTGGTCTACACTAACCCCCCAAGTCGAACTAGGTACGCAACTTCAGCTACGTGAATAACGTAGCTGAAGTCGACATACCTTAGTTCGAACTTACCGCGGTTCAGACGCGGTCCACACGCGGCAGGCAGGCTCCCCGTCGACTCCGCGGTACTCCTCTCGCCGAGCTGGAGTACCGCAGTCGACGGTGAGCACTTCCTGGTTCGACTTATCGCGTCCAGACCAGACGCGATAAGTCGAACCCAGAACTTCGATCCCCAGCCGCCGAACTAACGGCTGGGTGTAGACCAGCCCTTATTAATCGCTCCTCATACGGAAGCCATTCCATACCCCTAATCGTTTTTGTTGCCCTTTTCTGAACCTTTTCCAATTCCAATATATCTTTTTGGATTTTGGACCATATCTGCACGCAGTATTCAAGATGTGGGTGTACCGTGGATTTATATAGCGGCAACATGATATTTTCTGTCTTCTTATCTATCCCTTTCTTAATGATGCCCAACATTCGGTTTGCTTTTTTGACTGCCGCTGCACATTGAGTGGATGTTTTCAGAGAACTATCCACAATGACTCCAAGATCTCTTTTTTGAGTGGTAACAGCTAATTTAAACTCCTTCATTTTATATGTATAGTTGGGATTATGTTTTCCAATGTGCATTACATTAGTTATCATTGATCAGGATACTTTCATTATAAAGCACATATTTTCAGAGGCACTAAACTTTCTTAAAGGGAGTGGGTGAGGTATAAGAAGACATAAGGGCAGAAGACAGGGAAGAATTATGGAAAACTTTGAATATGAGATATTGAACTTTGAACTTCATGGAAGAGACTGTGGCAGGAATGTGGCATGCAGTCCTTGGAAGATGTTCATAGCAGAAATAACTGGGTGAAATTTTCTCGCCTGTATTATGCAGAAGGATGGACTAGATGAGCATAGTGGTCTCTTCTGTTCTTAAAAGTCAAAGGATCTATTAAAACCTGATGGCCAAATCCAAAGATGGCTAAGTCAGTGTAGCTTTGCTGACTTAAATGGAGCTACAACCATTTACAACAGCTAAGTGATTCCAGCAGGTGTAACAACCTGGTTTGAGTGCTGAAAAAAGGAACAGGGTCTTGACAGATACATTTTGGGTGGGGGAAAACAGAAGGGGAGGCCTACATCTTGGAAATGACAGTAGTTACTATACTATTACGATACTATTTCACAATGTTTTGGTACCAGAGATGGAGGGCATGAAAAAAAGTTGATAAAGGAACGTGCAGCAGAATTTGGAGAGAGCATAGATAAGATGGGAGATGGATAGAGAGGACTCAAAAATTAAATCAAGCTTGCAAGCACAGGAGACCATCAGAACAGCGGAAGTAAGGATGCCAGAAAAAGGTATAAGAAGAGACTCTAGATGGAAAAATAATAAGCACTGTTTTAGCCATACTGAGTCTTAGGTGGTTGCAAGAATGAAAAATACATTAGAGAAAGGCAGAGATGCAGGGCTGCACAAAGGGAAAATGGCCAGGGACTGAGAAATATATTTGTGAATCATCAACATAGACGTGAGAGATAAAAACCATGGGAGGAAATGAGATCACCCTGGGAGACAGTACAGAGGGAGAAAAAAAGGGGGGAAAAGGATTAAGATACTTTAAGGACTAGTAGACAGGGCCAGACTTTGTATTTTTTGTTAGGTCTGTGAACCATTCTGCCACTGATGTTCCCTGCTCCCACCCCTTGCCAAATAATTGACTCCTCTCTCGTTATCCCCCACAAACCAAATATTGATAGCTGACTCTTATCTACCTTGATCACATTCCACCCTGCATGAATGTGAATGAACAAAACAATCTCTGGATATAACTAAATAAGTAGGATAACCATGTGTCCCATTGCCAAGAGGAAAAGAAGTAGGGCTGGAAGTGGAGAGGAGAATGGAGATGTTGATTCAGAGACTAAGTTGAAAAATGAGAAGAAAAGGAAAAAGTGAGAATAAACAGATCTTGCCATAAGGTGTCAGTTTTGTTTTTGCAGTAGTCAGCAAAATCTAGGGCAGAGAGAGAGGGGAAGATGGGGCCTGGGTAGCAGGTTTTAGAAGAAGTCTATCAAAGAAGTAACATTGCTTAAGCATGTGAGAAAACAGTGTGGAAGAAAGAGGATCAACCTAAGTTACAATGGAAAATGTCTGTGAGAGAATGGAACTGGAGGTGAGAACAGAGGTACACCAACAGGTGAAAGAGACAGCCAGAGGGTGGTAAGCAAAAGAAGAAAAATACCAAAAATAGGATGACGTTAAAACCAACATCAGTTTTGAACAACTCAGGGGATGGTAGAAAGAGAAGAATGGAGAACAGAAATCTGATTTAGTAATTACCGTTTGAAGTAATTACTAGACATACACAGAATGTGTACTTCCCTGACAATTATTTTTAGCAATAAACTATGATTTGGTGTTCCAGATTGACATGTACATGACAAGCACATACGAAAGCTCTGCACCCTGAAAAACTGTGTAAACTAATTGAGCTTGACCAGTTGTTCTGGGTAAATGCACTGGATAATCTCTCTGGATAAAGCTCTCCTATCTTAAGGTTTTGGGAAGGGAGTGGGGGCTAAATGTGATATCATTAGATCACACATTCAATTCCACTATTGTGTGCTCCAAGGCTTTGTGAATTAGAGTGGTTTTGTGCTATACAGTGTGTATGAAATCTGAAATACAGGGCCAAAGTGGCTAGCCTAAGAATAGGCCACTGGACCTACCCCTCCTTACCTTTGGGATGTCAGGGGAAAGGGACCATGTACTATCTATCCATATATCTATTTCAGCAAGCAATCACACTCCCTTTTTATTAAAATCTAAGAAAGGAAATTAAATGCAAAAACATCCCAAACAATTTAGATTATTGGAGTGTGAAGGTTGAGAATTTAAAACACAGAACAGTCTGAAAGTTCAAATTTATGACTGCTACATTTGTTAAAATTCAGGCTTTCTGAAATCACTGCATATATTAATGGATAGAGCTTACAAAATATAAAAACATAACAAAATACTACATACATACAAGTGAGTTGAGTTAAGGTGTTTTAGAAAAATAACTTTGAATCTCCTGTCTTTGTTATGTTTAAATTCTAAACCATAATTTTACATTAATACTTATACTTAGGCTGTCAGTAGACTGAAAACTCCTGGGGAAAGGGGTTGTCTTTTTTGTTTGTGTAGCACCTAGCATAATAAGGTCCTGATCTGTGATTGGAGCCCACAGATGCCACTGCCGTACAAATAAACAACAACAACAACATAGTTTTTGCATTGATGATGTATATAGAATTATATAATTTACAATAAATGTTAAGTTTAATCACAGGCATCATAGCTTTTTATAGTGCCATTTCAAACCTTAGAATAGCGCTTCAAAAACTGTAATAGCATAATCTTAACTAAAAACTCTCTATATCCAAAGGCAAGCAAACCTCACTGCAGTAATCTTGGCAGGCTTCCCACTCTTAGCTACACAAGTGGTCATCTTGATTGAAACCCTCAACAATAAAAAGACAAAAAAGCAACCTAGTAAGACTGAAGCAGCTCAGCAGTACACATGTAAACCTAGTAGTACCCAAAAGATAAAGGAAAATTGGTTGGAAAAGAAAAGAAACAATTTCAACAGGCCTCTTAGGTTGTCTAGAGTCACAAATGTATCAACAAAGCTTTGCACTTATGTGATATCATTAGATCACACATTCAACCTTTCATCCAAAGATCTTAAAGTTTAAGTTCAGCACTGAGGGAAATATCTCCCTCTGTGCTAATCCAATGTAGAAATGAGTCAATGAGAAATTAATGCAAGCTCTTATGGAGGCAACCAAAGTCACAAGCACAGTCCCTGAATAATGCTTTGCTGATAAGTTTACTTGGTTTGTTTTAACAATTCCCCTCTTCCTACTTGACACTCAATGTAAAATATTACCTTTGTTTTCCTTACTGTCCTTTGCTTTATCCAGAGTGAAAGGAGAGAAAGAAAAAACCCAAGACAAAAAAACGCTCATCCCTTTATACAATAAGGAAAAAGGAAGAAAGAATTGGAAAAATGTATTAATTATATGTAACTTACCTACACAATCTCACTAAAGACATAATTAGCTACATATTTGTGACAGTTTATATGTCTGCCTGATGCCTGTGTGACACAAATATGCATTCAATAATCCCCCTAAAGACAGTTCTCAGATCTGGAGAATCACCTTATTAGCCTTAAGTTAACCCAAATTTCGTCGTGGACAACAATATTTTAGACATCAAATGATTCTTGAAATAGGATTTTAACTTTATAGATGATTAAGCATAATATTTCTCTTTCACTAGACATGTATTATGAATAAGTATAGTTGCCTACGGAGAATAATCACATGTTCTAATTACCATTTTGGTTATACGCATAATTAACAACATTCTGGCTTAATAGGACATGCTGCATCTATAGACAGTTGCATGCTTCAGGTCCAAAATCCAACTGTCAGCTGCATTGCCAAAGACAAAGAAGCCATGATGCTGTGTTTTTAGCTTTGGCAACAATGAACAAATCTTTATATGAGATATTGTAGTAAAATTAATCCTCTCATTGCTTTTCATCCACCACCCTCCCTTTAGCCACGTATCAAGGATCACAATAGCATTTTTGTACTGGTAATTTTGTATTACTGTGCTAAACTGTGATATGAAATTAACTATATTGAAGAAATATGATCACACATTCCTATCAGAACTACACAATATGTGAGTAGATACAGCCTAGTAATCTGAATATCCAAATTATAAAATCAAATTAAAGTATGAAAAGCCAACTTACTGATTGTAAGCTTTCATTTTCACGAAGACAAGCTGTTTGGAGTTCTGATTTCAGGGCTGCAATGTGATGTCGATGAGATGTTATTTCTCTCTCTAGTGTAGCAACTCTGGAGCTTGCGAGTTGGTAGACATCCATAAAACTTATAATCAGAGCCTTTAAAAAGTAAAATAAATAATCAATACCACGTGGACCTTATATAAATGCCAGCTTGCATACAGCCAAATTCATTAATAGAATCACACTAGCTAACTTTTATTAATAAAGAAAACAAAGGTTGGAAGATTTTCTAAAGTTAAGCAGCAGTATTTAACAATTAAAAGACATAGCAAAGGTTTATGTAACCCTACCAATATTGTAAATGGCTGATAGCATTACAGAAAGCACACAATCCTGCACTCAAATTAGGAGATATTTTCAAATACGGATTACTGCATTCAACAGCTGACACTATTTTTCACTGTATTTAAATACAAGTTTCAGTGTAAGGTCAATTTCTATCTGCAGGGAAGTTTACCTCAAACACAGTTTGAGGTAAAAATGCACATTTTCAAATTGAACTGAGACACTCACTCTCTCAACTCACATTAAAAAAAACACAGATTTAATTTGGCATGCAACAAAAGAAAACAAGTAAACTTCCAGACCTCTTAAAGTAAATAACCTGTTTACAATATAGCTGGGAAAATATAATTGTGCTTTGTGTATATGGAAGAATGTTCCAGCTGTGTAATATTGATCAGACTGATAATAAAGTTAACAGCAAAAGAGAATATAAATGATTTGGCAGTCCTAGTAACTTTATATCTACCCTAAATAGTATAACACTGTTGGGATTACTGCTCTTCTTTACAACAGGTTAATCACATTTTATAGGTTACAGTTTTCTCTTCTGAAGTGACCTGTAGTGAGTTTTCTAATGTAAGAACAGCTTTAAGGCTAATATGAAATCTGCCTTCTGAATGTAATACTTAGTGTAGGCTAAAATAAATTCATTAGCACTAAAGGAAACTCCCAAAATCTTTTGTTTTTCTTTGTTTTATACATTTTCTACTGTCTGTGAAAATAAAATTAAAGTAACAGGGCTGAAGTCAAATGAATTACACCAGGTGTGAATACGGCCAAATAATACGAATAAATTACTTACATCACATATATGGTAGCTTTTCTCGGTAAGAAGAATCCCAAAGTGCTTTACACATTATGGCCCCAATCCAGGAAAGATATCCAAGCCAGTGTAAGGGCTTGCCTATGTTCATACCTACCAAATGCATCCATGTCTTGAGTAGAATGTGGCAGCCATTTACAAAAAATATTACACAACGGTTTAGAACAAAACAAAGAATAGCATGTTCCATACAAAACACTATGATGCTTCACCTCAATGAGACTGCTCATGGGCTTAAAGTTAGGCATGTGCTGAAATACCTTGCCCCGTTCTATTATTTGAGAAATTGTATGCTGTTGTGTAACTTACAGATGAATACACAGAAGGGAACAGGGTTTAGGCTGCAGGTGCAATTTGGACTCTGGCATTTGCTGTCTTTTCTTTGAAATAAAACTCCATTTCTGTAACTATTTAGGGCTATTACCAATATGTGACTTGCAAGCATGCATGCCTAAAGTACATATTTAAGGTCACAGCTAAAATTAAAATGTGGAGACTGACTTTTCTTAGCTGCCCACCCTTTGAGCTGAGGACCTGATCCTGCTAGCTCGCATGTGCAGGTGCACCTTTGTGCCAATGCAGTCCCATTAGTGAGAATAGGGCTCTGCCCATGTATAGGAAGTTGTAGAATCAAGGTGTTATTGAAGCCCCTACTGAAAAGGTGCTGTGCACCCCATTTCACCATTTCCCTATCAACCATGAACTTTCTAACCCCAGCTGTTTCAGTTTTAAAAGGTTGGAAAGACTTATTTATTTTTTAAATGATAGGGATAGTGTATTTTCCTCTTAACTCTTCTTATGCTCAAACTTTCAGGGGGGAAAAAACAACATCCAGACTGAAAGGCAGAAGTTTCACAAAGTTATTAACAAAACAAGTAGCTGGAATGGAAACACTTATGCAACCTTAAGGAGGTTTAAACTCCCAGAGGAATTTTGACAGGCCAACCTAGATTTGAAATCAGCCAGGACATAGGGGTCAACATCCTCTACGCCTCCAAAAGGTACCAGGAGATCTTCAATAACAAATATCCAGAACTTCAGTTGTAAATCTAATCTGGAAGACAGCACCCCCAGCAGTAAAATGTGCTTAGCATCAATCAAGACACTGATTTATTGTTGAGTCAACACAAAGAAAATCACATGGAGAGACACCAGCATTGCTTCCTACAGTAACTAAGCTTCCCTTATTTGAATCATTGGTGGGAGAGGGAGAAATCTTTCCTATTTGCTCATTTTAAAGTTGGTCAAACAGTGATTTCACTCATTTCTATTGGAATTTAACATTTTTTGTTTTTATCCTTATTTGTATACTACAGATATAACATCTGCAATCAGTCTAGAAATAAGGTTTATTCACTGATCAACAGTGTTGTTAACAGAATTGGAGATCAGGTATCTTCCAGAAACAGAGCTTCACAGCCCCCCCCCCCCCCGCTTCCACCAGCATGCCAGATTTTAAAAAAACAGATACAACAATGACAAGTACAGATACTTCTGTAGCTTTCCGGATATATTTTTATAGCACTAAATTTGACATTCAGACATGTCTGTGGGAACCACATTTTAGTGAGCCCTTCTGTTTTTTGAATACACTGGTAATAGCGTGACATGCAAACTGGGAATAGAACATCTGAAACAAGTAACAAATCATCTTTCATTACAAGTAAGAATGATTTTTAAAATACATATTAGACATTGATTTTCATTCAGAAAAGCCAGTCATAGTGATCCTTGAACATTATAGGAAGCAATTTTTGCAACCCACACATATATTTTCACACATTCACTTTAAAAGCTAAAACCCCTTCCAGACTGACGAGTATTGTAGGAATGTCAGTGGGGCAGCAGACTTAGCTAAAGAGGCCACAGCAATTCTGAGGGCTGAAGAATATTAATTTAAAACATTAAAAAGCCAGCTGGAATATAGGATGTGAGTTAATAAAGGCTGAAACTTGCATAGTGCTGCCAATTTTAGAGCAGAAATGGTAATGAATTCCTTTTTTTGGTTAATTCAGAGTAAGTAGTCAGAGTCTCCTTCCTTTTCCCTCCTCTATGCCTTCATTTCATAAGAGATGTAGTTATTTTTTTAAAATCATATATCTTATAGTGCTATTGACATGGCAGAAGCATATTATAATGCCAAAAGGAGTTATCACTGTGAGAACATACCCATGTTCCAACACTACTGCTCAAGACCTGTCAGCTTCATGAAAATGGAAGGGCAACATGCTGAATTGGCTGCAACTAATGACACAAAAAGGGTACTGAAGAGAATAGCATGGAGAAAGGAAGGTCTTGCAATTAAGGTGCTGGACTGGGGTAAATGTTAAGAAGAACGTAAATCCCAATTTAAAATGTGACATTCAATGAAACTTAAGAGCCTAAAGGCCAGATTGTTTAATATCTTTAGGTGCTTAAAGATGCAGGTAGATGGCTAGTGGGATTTTCAAAAGTGTCTAGGTGCCTAACTCCCATTGATTGCAAAGGGAGTTAGGCACCTTGTGGACTTTTCAAAATACCTCGGCACCTATCTGCATCTTTAGATGCCTATATACTTTTAAACACCTGGCCCTAAATTACTTTTGAAAATGGGACTTAGGTACCTTTGAATATGTTAATCTTAATTTCTTTTTGCCTCTATTCCCAATCAGTAAAAGGGGGCATTGTGAGAATAAATGTATTAATGTCTGTGGTGCACTCAGTTACTATGACAATGGAGGCACTGTGAGTGGGGCGATGGATAAGATAGTACTTGTCCTTCCACTTTCTTAATTTTGGTTAAAATGGACATTGAAAGGTGACACTATCTGTTTTAAATTAAAACAGATAAAGGTAAGGATTAGTTAAAAGCATAACAAAACACTGGAAAAACAAGAACAAGAAAAATCTATTTAAGCTAATAGGTAAGCTAAACCCTGCTCAAACACTACTAAGTTTGAGGATGGCCTATTTGTACTACAGAGTTTCTCACAAATAGTTCTGGTTTGGGCTACAGATCTATGAAGTTGAGCATCTTACTCTGACAAATTGCCAGTGAGACAAACTACTTCAAGCCTTATATGATTTTTTAAATAACACAATGAACTATGGAGCAAACTATAATTTTAAAATTATCATATTGTCCCCCTCCAATCAACCTTAGAATAGAACAAGAGTTTTCACAGGAGGTCCCTTTCTACAGCACATGCAAAAAATTTTATATATATATAAAAATTTTATATATATAAAATTTTTTGCATGTGCTGTAGAAATATATATATCTTATAGTGCTATTGACATGGCAGAAGCATATTATAATGCCAAAAGGAGTTATCACTGTGAGAACATACCCATGTTCCAACACTACTGCTCAAGACCTGTCAGCTTCATGAAAATGGAAGGGCAACATGCTGAATTGGCTGCAACTAATGACACAAAAAGGATACTGAAGAGAATAGCATGGAGAAAGAATAGCATGGAGAATATATATATTCCCTCCCTTCAGTGATATGACTGATCATCTCTATGTGCTCACCGTTATTCAGAAACAGAAATTCTAAGATGTGCAGTGCAACATTATGCTTGTAAATATCTTTTTCATTATATTATTGGCTAGAAATTTGTCAGCTGGAAGACTAATCTTTGGGGATTTTTTTATAAAGTATAGTAATATATGGCATTCTGTTAGCTGGCACTGATAAATTATGCAACAATGTTCAAGAGACATGAAGATTAAAGTACAAAATGAGGGCTAAAGCATATCCTTTAAATTTAATTAACTAGATCAAAGGTCACTCAAAGTATTACCAAGTTGAAAACTTTGGTGGAAAAATATTTTAGGAAACACATAGATCAGAGTGCACAAATTATTAAATGATTTCTTGTCAAAGTACTAATGTATTTATTATACTTCATGAGGAAAGGAAAATCAGTTATTTATTCCATGTGGAAATACTCTGTCAGTGGGATACCCCTTTCCTGATTATTAGGTTCATGTAACCTAGTGAGA